AATTCATGGGAATGTCGTATATTGCTCTCTTTTTTGTATATTTTCACTTTTATATGTATCTTTGTTGTTCACTTTTCCTCCTTCTTTTTCTGTATCACTTTATTTCTTTTAATGGAAATCACCTTAAAAAATTATAAATATTAAAAGCATCCTTCAAACACTGTGGGATCCATTGGCTGAAATCTCCACAGTGTGAGAGGTTTCACTTAATCTGGAAAATGCAGTTAGTGCACAACGCTGCGCCACGGTTGCTGACAGAAGTAAGAACCTTTCGGCATATAACACCTCTGCTTGGAGATCTGCACTGGTTCCCAATTCGTTTCAGGACCACATTCAAGGTGTTGCTGTTGGTATGCAAAGCCGTTCATGTGTACTTGCAGGATTGCCTTGCCCCATATGTGCCCACTTGACCCCTTTGATCTGCAAAACTAGCCCTGATACAGGTGCCACTCATTCCGTAGTTGTAAGAAATTGGTCTTTTAGTGTGGCAGGTCACACTGCCTGCCTGTAGATGTGAGGCAGGAGCCTTCACTGCACTCTTTTCTGTGCCTGCTTAAAACATTTTGCTTATGCAAGCCTATCCACCCAGGCAGATGTTGGCGTGCTTTAGCCTTTCTTGCTGCTAATTTTATTTATCTTTATTTATCTTTAATTTATTTTCGTTGCTTTTCATGTTGAGAGTTTTAATACTTCCTGTAAAGCGCTTAGTGGTTTTACTGCAATCGAGTGGTGTAGCAGTTTTGTTAAATAAATAACCATATATATAATTTGGTTAAATATTGTTGTGGACCAGAGTCCTGGTTTCTCGGTTTCTCTCTCTCTCTCTCTCTCTCTCTCTCTCTCTTCTCTCTCTTCTATGTAGGTAGACAAGAGACATGATCAGAGCAGAGATAGTAAGGGGTGTGGCTTAGGGAGGGAATGCTGAGGGCTAGATAGAGTAGCTTGAGGGTCCACATTTGGTCCCTGTGCCTGAAGTTCTCCAACCTTGCAACAGGTGGATAGGATTAGGAAAGATAAGTGTGTGCAAAGAATATGTATAAGAGTGTGTGAGAGAGTGGAGTGATGTTAGATGGTGAAAAGGACTTCTTTTAGTACTAAGAAGTAGTTATTTCCAATACATTGTTGGTAAGGCCAGGTGCAGATTGGGGGCTGTGCCAGTGGTGTCCATGCACCCAGTTCTGAGCCAAGGGGGCACTGTTTCAAACCCAGGTTAGTGAGGCATTGTGCTTTGGGAAGGAAGTGTGAGGCTCTGACAGAGTCCTAGAAACCTCCTTCCTCCTTCTCAAAGACTAGATCCAGAGGACAGGATCACACTTCAAAACGACCTTGACAGATTAGAGAACTGGGCCAAAACAAACAAGATGAAATTTAACAGGGAGAAATGTAAAGTATTGCACTTGGGCAAAAAAAATGAGAGGCACAAATACAAGATGGGGGACACCTGGCTTGAGAGCAGTACATGTGAAAAGGATCTAGGAGTCTTGGTTGACCACAAACTTGACATGAGCCAACAGTGTGATGTGGCAGCTAAAAAAGCCAACGCAATTCTGGGCTGCATCAATAGGAGTATAGCATCTAGATCAAGGGAAATAATAGTGCCACTGTACTCTGCTCTGGTCAGACCTCACCTGGAGTACTGTGTCCAGTTCTGGGCACCACAGTTCAAGAAGGACACTGACAAAATGGAATGTGTCCAGTGGAGGGCAACCAAAATGGTCAAAGGCCTGGAAACGATGCCTTATGAGGAACGGCTAAGGGAGCTGGGCATGTTTAGCCTGGAGAAGAGGAGGTTAAGGGGTGATATGATAGCCATGTTCAAATATATAAAAGGATGTCACATAGAGGAGGGAGAAAGGTTGTTTTCTGCTGCTCCAGAGAAGCGGACACGGAGCAATGGATCCAAACTACAAGAAAGAAGATTCCACCTAAACATTAGGAAGAACTTCCTGACAGTAAGAGCTGTTCGACAGTGGAATTTGCTGCCAAGGAGTGTGGTGGAGTCTCCTTCTTTGGAGGTCTTTAAGCGGAGGCTTGACAACCATATGTCAGGAGTGCTCTGATGGTGTTTCCTGCTTGGCAGGGGGTTGGACTCGATGGCCCTTGTGGTCTATTCCAACTCTATGATTCTATGATTCTAGTTAGCACTTTCCCGGCTTTCGGAGGCAGGTGATAGGGCTCTAGGACCCTCCCAGAACCTTGCATCTCCTTCCCAAAACACAGTGCCCCCTTACCTGGCATTGCACAGGGCACCATGGTACTGAAGTCTGCCACTGTAGAGCAGACGGCCTGAACCACACATAGTATGCTGAGCTACATCCCGTTGGCACCCTGTTACTCAGACTAAGCCCTGACAACAAAGACCAGAATGCCGTTCCCCTCTGAAAATCAACTTAAATTTGCTTCTATAGATATAAATTAGCATGTGGAGATTTTATGCAAAATTGTGTCATGAGCTTGCACCCCAGCGTAGGTATTCATGCATCTGCCTCAGAGGCCATCACATGCATTCATTCATTCAGACAAGATTTAAGTGTGGAAAATGAATCAACTAGCATAGGTCCAAACCTGATGACTTACAGGTTATTTACAACTCTCTAATTCTATATAGGCCACAGACCATGCCTCCATTTGTTGGGAAGTACTTTGAGAAACAGAATTGCTCTGCCTTTGAACAGCTGAATGTGAACTTCCTGAGTGGTGAAAATGACAACCATCTCAGGCACAAGTGCCTAGTGCCTATTGGGATTGGTAAAATGCCAAGAGTAGGCGGAGCCGGGGCCAATGACAGGCAGGCCCAACTAATCCTAGTGAATTGTCTCTGTTCATAAAGGCTGGCTGCACAAAGACTACGGAGGAGGAAGCTGGCAGGCAGTACTGGACTGGTTGTAGATAAGGCAAGCAGGTGGGAGGAGCTTGCTGAGGACTAACTGAGGTGTCCCATTCATCCTAATGGATCAGCCTCTACTGCCAAGTAGTGGCTCTTCAGGGTGACTTGCATAGAAGAAGAGACAAGGTTTTAGTCCATTTATCAGCTCTGGCTGCATAAATGTTCCTACTCTCCCACTTCTAAAATTTCTTCCACGTCATATCCCTCTTCTCCTCTCAGAAAGCCTGTTAACCTTCACACGGCCTGTCCTGCTTGCAAATTTATAGGCTGATTGGGAAGAGGTTTCAGAGAGTGCTCAAGTTCTGTGGAATCTCAGGGGCAAAGGGCACATAGCCTACTGAGAGGATGCTTGAAAAACCTCTGATATATGATTCAGCTTCTATGTTTGTTGGATCGAGGCCAACAAAGACATAAACAGCAACTGAATTTCACATCATAGGCATGGACAGTTATAGACATGAGAGGAGGCTACGCATGTTTCTGGGCATGCTTTCCCACTGAAAGGATTTACGGTTGTTGCAAGTTATTTTCTCAAGTAAACATTTTCAAGAACAGCTCCAGGGACATTTCCCTCCCTCTGTCATTTTGGCCAGAACTTTGCATACCTTGAGCCACAGAACCACTCTCCTAACATGGGCATCACTGCAGCTTACCTGAATGGGGCTTAAGTGGGACAGAATGGGGCAATCTCAAATCATGCAGCTGATCCAGTAGGAGCACTGGATTCTATACACCAGTGCATCCACACTGGACCCAACTTCTCACCTGTCTGTCACCTCTCTCCCACTCCCCAGCTCAGTCCAATCTAATATTTATATTAGAAGTCACTTTGACCACCCATAAAGATGGTTCTTTTTATTGTTCTGCTCTTAGTTATAATTCTTCTCCTTCATTTCTATTCTTTGTATAAATCACCAAATACTTTATTATTAACCACTGGTATGAAAATTGTTTTAGCTTCATTGTAAAAGATATTTATTATACTCTGCTTCAAAGTGAAGAACACAGTGGGCTTATATCAGAGTTTAAAACTAAGTTACAAAAATAAAATCAGGCTGCAGATAACAACAATAATAATGACCAGGTGATATCAGTTACCAAGTGGAAATTAACTAGCAGAAATAAATTATGATATGGTAAAATGCTCCACTTCGTGAGTGGAGCCAGGAAGGTTTTTAAAACTACCAGGAAATGTTTTGTAGTCCCCCCCCCTAGATAAGTTCCTGATAAAAACTAGGGTGGTTTATGCAAATTTACTGAATCTCAGACTTAATTTGAGTCATATCTTGTCACAGTTCAGACCTGTATCATTTTAACAGCCCCAGGACTCGACTGGGGGTGGGGGCATCTGTCCTACTTTACATAAGAACATTTGTTGTTGTTGTTTAGTCGTTTAGTCGTGTCCGACTGCCAGTGCACTATCATTATGTCAAGAACATGATGCAATAAAACACCAGTCTGGAAGGGCCCAAAGTGGTGGTGCAGAGTAATTGTACCTCTATGATGTGTGACCATTCTAGGACTCGTGCAGGCAATGCATCTCAGATGATGCTACCTCTTTCCCTCTGTCAAAACCTAGTTCTCCCTTTGAGAATGTGTGTTGTGTTGAGAACACAGAGAATCAGTGTGCCCAAGTTGCCTTCCCTTCATGGGCAGCAATTCTGCCCAAACTTACCTGGGGGAGAAATCACATTGAACTTGATAGGACATACTTCTGAGTAAGCCTGTACAGAATAACAATTAGAAATAAATACCTTGGGTTGTGTCTAAGTAGATGCGCCCTTACTTCTAATGGCAGGTTGTGGTTTTGGTTTGGCTTCTGCCTGTGCAAGCCTTCATCTGATTTCTTTGAAATGGTGCATAAAGTCTGGAGTAGGGGGGGGGCGTTATTGGTGGTGCCTTATTTCTATGAAAATTGTGTCGCTACACACCGTGCCCCCCATCTCCCCCACCATTGCGTCGCTGTTTGCTTGTACTCCCTCTGCCACTATCCCACCACCACTGCTTGTCCACCTCCTCCCTTACTCCTCCCCCCCCCCCGTTAACTGTGATGGAAAAAATCTGTGCAGAAGGCAAAATCAGACACTGTTTTATCCGTTTTCCATTTTATCAGGTTCCCAGTTTGGCAATGCAGGAGAGCTAGCTGCTAGTATTAAAGCCTTCCCAACAGAGCCAGCCACTCACCGAAAAAGGATACAGTAAGTTCTTTTCATTGGTAAAGCAGTCCTCTCCTTAAGCAGGATCGCCCCCTTCTGGTAATCACATCGTCTGCCATGCCAACAGAAATAGTGAATAGGCAGATAACTGTGTAGGATACAAGGCTGAATGCATGAGCTTCTGTCCAGGGAATCTTCTGGGATAGATGAATATGTAAGTTCTGGCCTCTGTCCATTTAAATTTCTCTCAATTTCTCATTTTCCCAGTCTCAAGTTCAGTTTGCTAGATTTCATTATGGAAACTCATGAGCATTTTAGCATGCATCTCTCCCCATATCCACATTTTTGTATGCAATTTTGTGTAATATACACCTTTTTGCAAATAATATTTTCCCTAATACAATGCATTTTTGAAAGTTAAGCAAAGTGTGTGTTGTTAATATACACTTTCCCCTATTTTTGTACATTTTGCGTTTAGAGATATGCATTGCAAAATTGAGAGATGTGCAAATTCTGATGGATAGCTGTGCTTAACTTTGTGTATTTTTAAAACTATTTCTTTAAGAAAATGTGAATTGTGTAGGTTTCCATTAAAATGTAAAAATTTCCCTTTCCCAGCTTGTTGGACAATTGCTCAAACTCGCTTAGCAGATTTGCAACTCAGAACAGAACCAGTATTGGTATAATTCACTGGTCCAAAAGCAGGTTTCAGAGACCAATTCAGCCCTGCCCTGTGACCATTCATCATCAATAAAATGCCTGAACTTTGCTCAATTAATTATTAAATTAATAATTAAATATGAACACCTTCACATATTACAGAAGCAATAGTTTGAAATGGAAGACTAAGCTTGATTTTGAATTAAATTTCTTCTCCACACATGGAAGAAAATGCTTCTTTTAAAGTGGAGCTTGTATAAGGACATGTGCTCAAGTAATTAGAATTATTTTAATTTGCTGCATTTTCTTAAGTGCAACATTTAAACGAAGGGGATAGCTTTTGAAGCCACCAGGTGTTTATTTGATTGATCGATCTGATTATTCAGCTTGTTGTTGAATAATGGTTTCACAATTCTCCCTAACTTCTTCACATCCAGAGGTCACTGAAATAATATCTCTACCAGCTTGCTCAAATAAGTGATGTCTCAGATCCGATTATTAATTTGCAGCTTACTAGCTCACTGGGAGCCCTGTAAAGCCATCTCTTTCAGCAGTTGCAAAAGTTGTATAAAAACACCACACTAATGCTGTTTCCCTTTCCTTTTCTCCCACCCCAACCCCACTGCAGGATCTGAGTTCAATTTGATGACTCGTGGCGAAAATATGCAGAGCAACGTGACGACATGCAGTGCCACCATTGATGAATTCCGGAGTCAAGTGTACACTACGACGTACTCTATAATCTCAGTGTTGGGCTTATTAGGAAACGGCTTTGTGCTGTGTGTCCTTATAAGAACATTCCAGGAGAAAACAGCCTTCCAGATATACATGCTCAACCTTGCTACTTCAGACCTGTTGTTTGTGTGCACACTGCCTCTGCGGGTGGTATACTATGTCCACAAGGGCGACTGGTTCTTTGGTGACTTCCTATGCCGGATCAGCTCCTACGCCATGTACGTCAACTTGTACTGCAGCATCATGTTCATGACGGCCATGAGCTTCTTCCGCTGCATTGCCATAGTTTTCCCCATGCAGAACCTCAGGTTTGTAACTCGGAAGAAAGCCGTGCTGGTATGCGGAGCCATTTGGATCTTTGTGACACTGACGAGCATGCCATTTCTGCTGAGTGGCTCATACCTGGACAGTTCAAGCAACAAGACTAAGTGCTTTGAGCCCCCGCCAGCAGATGAGATGCTGAAGCTGGTGGTCCTCCATTATATTGCATTATTTATTGGCTTCATCATTCCCTTCACCACCATCGCCGCCTGCTACACCATGATCATAAGAACCTTGCTGAAAAATTCCCTGCAAAAAAAGGAAGCGGCCCGCCGGAAAGCCATCTGGATGATTGTCATTGTCACCTTGACCTTCCTCTTGAGCTTCGCTCCCTATCATGTCCAACGCACGGTCCACATTCATTTCATGATGGAAAGGGGTTCACGTTGTGAGGATACCCTCTACATGCAGAAATCTGTGGTGATAACGCTTTCCCTGGCAGCTTTCAATTGCTGCTTCGACCCACTTCTCTATTTCTTCTCTGGAGGCAACTTTCGCAAAAGGCTTTCTACCTTCCGAAAGGGGTCGGCCTCCAGTGTGTCACAGGCACACAAGTTCAAGATGTCCTTAAAGAACTTTGAGGAGGAGCCAGCTAATGGGAAGGCACGAGAAGAGATGGGCTTATAGCCTTTGCAGAAGCTACCAGAAAATCATGACAGGGTGGGAAGTCAAAAGAGGTGGCACACTGCTTTCTCTTAAGTTATGAACATGATGGCAACCTGGAACTGGCATGACCTCTGGTGTCATTCAGATACCTCTGTAGCAGTCATACCAATCTGAGCTGCATTATCCCATGTGTGTTGGTGGTTTAGCAGATGTGTGGGATGATTTGTCATATTTATTTGCCACATTTATGTCCCACCTTTTCTCCAAGCTCAAGGAAGTGTACATGGTTCTCTCTCCTCCTTCTGTTTTATCTACAGAGCAAACCTCCAAGGCATAGCTGTCAACTTTTCCCTTTTCTTGCGAGGAATCCTATTCAGAATAAGGGAATTTCCCTTTAAAAAAGGGAAACGTTGACAGCTATGTGAGTCCAAGGTAGATTAGGCTGAAAGATAGTGGCTGTCTCACAGTTGCCCAGTAACTTTGCATTGCAAGCAAGCAATCAATCAATCAATCAATCAATCAATCAATCAATACATCCTGGACTGCTTGTGCATTTGTGTCTTTTACAGCTTGACTTGCAAACATGTAGCCTTGTGGAGGCAATGCTAAAGAGTAAACAATGGCTAGATACTGCTTGTTCTAAGATAAAGGGGCACACAGCACTTTTGAAGCACACACATCCCACCCACTCCCCAAAAATCTGGTCACTGTAGTTTACCCCTCACTGAGTTACAATTCCCAGTAACACTTATCGAACCACAAGATTCTCTCCAAATTAAGGGAAATGAATTAATTCTTAAGTGTTGCAAAGTCACTATCACATCCTAGTGATCTGATTCTCAGAAAGATCATAGCTATAATTGGGTGAAGAAGGGTGAAGGTCCTCTGGAGAATGGGAGAGGGAATAGGTATAGGAACCTAAGACCCCTGTTGGATAAGGCCAGTGGCCCATCTAGGCCAGCATCCTGTCCTCATTGTGGCCAACCAGATGCCTGAAAGAAGGACCTGAACACAACAGCGGTCTCCACTGCTTATGAGTCCTATGAACAGGCATTCAGGAACACACTGCCATCATGGTTAGTAGTTATTGATAGCCTTGTCCTCCATGAAATTCTCTAATCCTCTTCTCAAGCCATCGAGATTGGTGACCATCACTACCTTAAATATGTGCTGTGTGAAGAAGTACAGTGGTACCTCAGTTTACAAACTTAATCTGTTCCAGAAGTCCGTTCTTAAACTGAGGCGCACTTTCCCTAATGAGGCCTCCTGCCGCCGGTGCCCTTCCACTGTTCAGATTCTGTTCTTAGACTGAGGTAAAGTTCTCAAACTGGGACACTATTTCAGGTTTTGCGGAGTTTGGAAACCAAATAGTTCCTAAACTGGACTGTTCTTAAACCGAGGTACCACTGTACTTTGTTTCAGAGGTGCCATCTTTTCAAGATGATTGAAGGGGCCCCATGTGATGTCCTGGCGTCATGCATGTGACACCGCAAGGAGCCAGGGGACAGAGCCAAATGCCCTCTGAACACTGAGGGGGCCTGGCCCCCTCAAAATAAAATAAACATTAGGGAGCCCCTGAAAGTGCCTCAACCTCCAGGAACTGGTGCTTATGCTTTGTTTAGTTTGTCCTGAATTGCCAGCATCAGTGGATGTTCCCAAGTTCTAGAGTTAAGAGAGAAGGGTAAAAACCTTTCCCTATCCATTTCCTTACCCTTTTCTACCTCCAGAGCATATATAGCAGGAAAGGGTTGTTTTAGATACACACACCAGTTTTAATCCCACCTTCCAGCGTACTTAGTATAAGATGTAAAGGACTTCAGTGGGGAACCTTTGGTCCTCCAGATGTTACTGAACTACAGCTCCCAACATCCCTGGCCATTGGCCATGCTTGCTGGGGCTGATGGGAGTTGTAGTTCAACAGCATCCAGAGGGCTAAACATTCCCCACACCAGTTTCCTCTTCTCACCTACACCATCTTTCCCCTCCCTTTCAACAGGCACTTTGACATTCCATTATATCCTGGAGGCTAACAGAGCTTTCTCAGGTCATCAGTTTGTTTGTTTTTAAAAACGTTCTTATTAAATTTTAATTTACAAATGTATATGCTTTTGCATATCTAGAATTTCCACCGAGTATGTGAGAACCACTGTCTTATTTCTTGAGTTGGTGTCAATGAGACTGCTTGCCAAGAAACTGATTAAACTGGCTTACATTATATATCAGGGCCGACCCACCCATCCGGCAAGGTGAGGTGACTGCAGATCCTGATTTAAATCTTTTCCCCTTCCTTGTTCCTGATGTAGATTTCCCTGGTGGGGAGGGGTTTGCCATTTTGGGGGTCCATCTCAGCTGCCAAAATGTCTTGGGCCAGCCCTGGCTGAAATGCGTGCACCACAAAGCAGGGACCACAAAGCTATAGTGAGCTCTGATACTAGTGCAGAAAAGAGAACTGGGAGGGCATGTTTAGAGTTTTGAGCTATGACCAAGAAGGCTCATGTTAGCAACATAGAATCACACTGAATCAGACCTTAGGTCCATCTAGTTAAGTATTGTCCCTCAAAGAACTCTGCAGGCTATAGTTTGTTATGGTTTACTAGGGATTGTAAACTCTGTGAGGGATGAACTAAAGTGCCCACAATTCTGCAATGGAATGTATGCACTTCAATTGTGCTTTAGTTATAGTGTGCACTAGACCAGGTCTGAAACCCTGAAAAGCTTCTGCCAATCAGTGTTGATAATGCAAAGATAAATGAGCTATGTTTGAATCCTCTTCCCACACCCAAAGTTTAGTTGGCAAGGTTCTGCAGAATTTTCAGCATCCTTGTAAAATCTCAAGAGAGAGCAGGGGAGGAAAATGTCAGAGTGACCTAAATCTGAGTGAAGTGGGGCTGCTGGGGCGGGGGCGGGGGGAGAGAAAGAGACAGAAGAGAAACAGCCGGTAGGGAAATGCACACATTCCTTCAGCACTCAGGAGGTTATGGTGGAGCCGCAGCAGAAAATACAGCTCTGCTGGTGGACCAAAGTAAACAGGATTGGAAACTCCAGCAAGACCATTGCGCAAACTTTCAAGACATTAATCACAGTGCCAGTGGGAAATGTAAACATTTGTCATGGTGGGAATTAATGCAGCTGGGGAGCTGATGAGTATGTGCACTGAATTCCCAAAGAGGCAGGGAATTCAGAACTGCGTCAGGGCCAATGAGACCCTTAAGCCTACTTCCTAAATAGTGCTATGGCAAAAATGCAAAATATTATTTGGTATAAAGGCTCCAGGGAGATCAAGGCAGGGCTCATCTCCCTTCAACATGCCAGAGTCAATGCCTATCCAATCAAGCAAAGTAGGAGTAATCTCTTCCTCATGGTGCCAAACTAGATAGACATACTAACTCTGTATCTTTATCCTTGAGGGCAGAGAAGGGGAGGTAGGATGAATTTGAGTCAGTTCACATTTAAAAGCAAACCTACCTAATTAACACTTTCCAAGACAGAATGAGAAGTGAAACACTGCCATTTGCACTTCGAAATTTGCACTTATCTGAACTTTGCAATGCAGTTCTCCAAACAGTGTTGACAAAAATACATATATTAGATATATAAAAATGTATATGGTTGTGAAAATGTGTGCCGTAGTCCATATTGCATAGAAAATGTATTTAGCAGGAGAAAATTGTACAATAATGCTGGGGGGAAGGGATTAATTTTTTTCCTTTTTTATTAGAAAGCAAATTGCTTCAGGACTGTAGATAATTGAATTTCAGACTGGGGAAAAATGAAAAACTGAGAGAACAGAAATTGACAGAAATTTCTATCTCTAGCACAGGGTTTCATTTATTTATTTATTTTTTCAAGAAAACATGAATGATTGTTTTGGTGGCTCTGATCTGGATCAGAAAACCTAGCTTTGGAGTTGAGACTTTAATTGTTCATTGTCCCAACTATGATTACAATCTGTATCAACATCCCCATTTGCCACCAACTGGCACAAGGTGGGGATGGGCCTTCCATCGAACTGAACTGGAGTTTTGTTCCATATGCAAACTGCCAGCAGAGGGGAGCCCAATCCAAATTGGGGCTACAGTGAAGGGCAATGGGTTAAAGCTCTCCTAATGCTAAGAAGGGATTGTTCAGTCAGTAGAGCCTGAGATATCTGATCTCAGGATTGTGGTTCGAGCCCCACATTGGGCAAAAAATTTCTGCATTGCAGGAAATTGAACTAGATGCTCCTTGTGGTCTCTTCCAACTGTACAATTCTATGATTCTAACCCCCATTCTAGAGTTAAGGGCACTTTACTTTAAATCATAGAAAAACTAAACAATGGTTTAAAGGCAAATGCAATGGACACCTCCTGCAAAGAAATGAACAAGGAAACCTCAGCAAGGTAGCAATTGCAGAAAGTATTAAATTTCAAAAGTGATTTTCTAATTGCTAGTGTAGTTATTAGAAACTGTGGCCTATGTGGAGTGTATTGCCAAGAGTAACATGCATGTAAAATATATATCGTGTCAATTTTGTCTTTGTGCTGAATGTAAATATACGTATGCAGACCCTCCTTTTTTTGCTTCCCTTGAGGTGGGGCTTGTAAAATGAGCACAAATTACACGAGTGGCCAGGAAAATTCTGTAGTTTGTAGCTCTTTGTATTTATCCAGTGAGGTCTCCGATGGCTAACTGCAAAAAAGGTTAGAAGGAAAGACTGCAAAAATGGCTAGACCAGTTTACTTCCAGAAAAGGTAGCAGAAATATCAGGAGCTGCTGAGGCTAGGAGCAAGATCAAATGGATCTTTATCGGGGACGGGGCACTTCAGGCCTAGAGGTGAAAAGTGGCCCTTCAGACCTCTATACTTGGTTCTTGGGGGTCTCCTCTAGCCACAACCCTCGCTGCTGACCCTGTTCCACATCCTCCTCAAGTGAAAATCTTTCCTGGATGGTAGATGGAGACACGTGTGGGTGTGGGTGGGTGTGCACGCAGAAACCTTTGGCTTTTGTGTGGCAGGAAAGTAGCCAACAATACAAAAGTAAGTCACATCCATTGCTGTGCCCACTTTTGCCTCTAGTCATTTATGCCTGGCCCTGCCCACTACTGCCTCCAGAAGGTTGGTCCCAAAGGCAATGCAGCCCTTGGTCTGAAAAAGCTTCCTCACCCCTGAGCTGCATAGAGATGGTGCTCTTGACCCATCACCAGATTTTGGCAGGAGGAGCCTTGGCATTCCCTCCAAATTGACCCCTGTCATGATCATCACCAAGGGAAGGTAAGTGCGCTTGGCACTAAGGAGCTCGAGAGCAGCAGCTTGTGGCATGGTAGAGCTGCACCCCTCACCTGACCTCTTGCCAGTTGATTCACTGCAACTTATCAAGAAGGTGAAGTGGGGAGAAAAGGCAGAGGGAGGTTGGTGTGGTGCAAACACTGGCAGGAGTACCAGATTGGTTCTGCCAAAGCATTTGCACCATGCCCCTGCCCCTATTGGGAAGTCATATGAGCACACACACACCCCGGCAATGCTGTCCATTACTGCTCATTAAGGAGCTGTTAGCTCAACAACGGTCCAGAAGAGACCAAGAAATGTATTTCATTATTGCCTGTTCCTCCTCTTTAATATGAAACTGCCTTATACCACACTGAACCATCTCATTCAGTATTGACTGGCAGTTGTTCTCCAGAGTTTCACAAAACCTGTAGTGAGCTATGGTCCTTTACAAATGGATCTACATTGAACATACGAAGCTGACTTTTTTGTGTCAGACCAGTAATCCATCTAGGTCAGTGTTGCCGACACTAACCGGCAGCTGCTCTCCTGGGTTTCAGGCAGGAGCATTTCCCAACCCAGCTTGAAGATGCTGGGGATTGAGCCTTTTTCTACCTGATCATCAGCTGGATCGTTGTTTGCAGTGGGATCTTCTCCCTCCTCCCAAGGAGACTTTGGGTGATAGAGCCTCCTGGCAACCAAATGGGCACTCCTACACCAACTCTGGGCTTCCCACAAATTCTGCTGCTGCCCTCATTCTTGAGACTTGGCTGATGAAGAGGTGCAACTGGGCATCGAGTAGAACTCTTGGACTGTGGGCAGGTGGGACATTGATGAGGCACTTCTGGCTGCCTTGAGACGATCACAAGTTCTTTCAGGTCCCCAGGTCATCAGTGAAAACCCCTTTCATCCAAGCTCCACCCTCGTCCAAGTCTCACCTTTACCAAATCAGCCTTGAGGT